CTGCCAACCCAGGAAACAGTCAGAGGATGAAGATATGGCTCGAGGCAGACTCCTGAGCTTGCCCTTTCCCGACAGCACAATTCTAATCAAGACACAACCCCAGGAGACTGACCCCCTGGTGGGTTTGGACCACCAGCCTGCCAAGTGCTGAACCACAGCACCGCCAGCACTCCGCTACCACCCACCAAATGCCACTTTACCAGCCTGTCGAGCACTTCTCTACGTACAGGCCCAAAGCTGGCTTCTTCTGCTTCGTAGATGTAGTGGTCCAAGGTGGAGAAGTAATAGCCAGACTCCATTTCATTGCACTGACGGCCGATCATGTGGGGTCGACAGGCGCACTGGCCGGACTCCGCAGAGCAGCTGAGGGAGAGAGAGCGGGGTCAGCTGTGGCACCACGCACCCGAGGACATCACTCCCCGCTTGCCGGGAGCATGAGATGGGGAGACAGCGTCATGGAGAATGCTCTACTTTCCTCCAGAAAATCAATCAACGTGTGGAAAAAACACCACCTGAATGACAGCTATCTCAAACCCCGAGCACAACGCTCAAAGGTGCTCCTTGGTCCTTTTGGTCTTTCTCCATCACCGTTGCTTCCCTCAGTGCTGCATGCACACCACGGGCAGGCTTTCGGTGGACTCACAGACATTCTCGCTATGGTGATAGTTTTAACAACCGCAATCGCTTTTTCTGGCCTCACATCCAAGTAGCTAACTCCTTAAAGAACATCTCCCCGCTCCTGGATGTCGAAAGGTTTGCACTCGACGACTACCCTCAGGGTTGGCTGTTGGAACCCCTCCAGTGCTGCTGAAGAGCTCTGCTTGCACAAAGGGGACAGCCAAGAAAGCTCCCTGGGATCAAGGATCAGGCATCAAAGACCCAGAACAAAAAATCAGATGACTGTGAAGGAGGGGGAGTGCAGAGTGGGGACCCAAAGCCCATCTGTAGGCAACTGGACATCCCCTTACAGAAGGGTGGCAGGGAAGAGAGGACCCAGTCAGGGTGCAGTGTAGCAACGATGAAACATACAACTTTCCTCTAGTTCCTAAATGCTTCCTCACCCCTACCCCCACTATCATGATCCCAATTGTACCTTACAAATCTGGCTAGACCAGAGCATGTACATTGGTACAGATAGGAACTGGAAACACAGGGAATCCAGGACAGATAAACCCCTCAGGACCAATAATGAGATTGGCAATACCAAGAGGGGAAGAGGAAGGTGGGTTAGAAAGGGGGAACCGATTACAAGGATCTACATATAACCCCCTCCCTGGGGGAAGAACAGAAAAGTGGGTGAAGGGAGACATCAGACAGTGTAAGACATGACAAAATAATAATTTATAAATTATCAAGGGTTCATGAGGGAGGCGGGGAGGAGGGGAAAATGAGGAGCTGATATCAAGGGCTCAAGTAGAAAGCAAATGTTTTGAGAATGAAGATGGCAACAAATGCGCTTGACACAATGAATGGATGGATGGATGGATGGTGATGACTTGTACGAGCCCCAATAAAAGGATTAAAAGAAGAGAAAAAAGAAAGCTCCCCGGAACAGCTCTGGATCAACTTGATGGCAACAAGTTCAGTTTGGGTTCGCGGATGAATCCCTCTAGCTTTGCTGTCCCAGGGGCCCCCGAAGGCGTCAGAGCCAAGGTATCAGCACAGTCCCGGCCACACCTTCCCGTGCCCTCTCTCTCCATGTTCTCTCCGGGGTGAAGATACTGAGCCAACTCAGTCAGAGAGCACCAAGTTGCTGGCACCGTCCAACCGAGAACCAGTCAGCGTGTTCACCTCAGTTCTTTCCACCGTCTGGGCTAACGCGCCAGTTCTCTCTGGCTCACAGCAAGCGGTAGGAACAGGTTTTCAATTGGGATCCTTGCTGCCAGTCTTCTAACTTACTACCCAAACCGCACCCCCCACCCCCACACAGCGACCCTCTGATCTTTCATGACCAGAGCAACTCCAACCTGCTGCCATCAAGCTGGTCCGGACACATAGTAAAGACTGGAACTGGTCCATGGGGTTTTCTTGGTTGCAGTTTGGGTGGAAGCCGACCTGGAGGTGGGTGCACCACTCCCTGGCTTCATGACTCGCAGGGTCTGGCCCTTCTCTACCCGACACTCCACGCAATTTCCCAAACACACCAGGCAACGGATTCCTGAGTCTTCCTTTCTGCTCATGTTCCCGAAGCCTGGAATGCCCTTCGCCCTAGCTCGCCCGGCAAAGAGCCACGTGTTCTTTCAAGAGTCAGTCCACCCACTGCCCTCTCCCCACGCCACCACATTGAGAGAAACTGCATCCCATCGACTCCCACGACTCCCACGATCCCGGTACCTAAGAGCTCGTCACACAACAGGTGTTTATCGACATGAGGCAGGGTCCTCAATCCCACTCATCTTCTAAGGCCTCCCTCTCCCGTCAGCGTTTTCATCAAGACCGGCTTGGTTCCCTCCCTCTTGCTTTCTTCAGCGGCACTGAGACTGCCGTGGTCCCTTATCGAATACTGTCCTCAGTCGCTGACCACGTCTCCCCTGGTGGTATCGTACTGACCAACGGACCTAGCCTCTTCCAGATGATAACCCCCTGGAAGGTTTCACCTAGGCCATCCCCAGGAGCCCGGCCCAGAGCTCCGCCCCCAATTCACACCCCAGGACGGAGTGCAACAAACCCAGGCGTGAAGGTTATGCGTCTAGAATAAAAGTACACCAGGGAAAATAGGAGACTTAATGTACACGATAAAACCTTTTGTTACTTTAAGCATATTGCTGATTTTAGTGATAAAGGCCTCTGGATAAACGCGAAGATACTCATTCTGGTCTCAGCCTCTGCCTCTCTGGTCTTCTGGGGGCTCATGACCTCGGGGACCAGTTAGAGCTGACTGACCCGCGTGTATTTTCACATACAGTGTGGGATCATGGTCGGACTCCCATGTTCAAAGTTCACTTTAAAGCACGCACCCAAGGCAAGTTACAGCTCGCCGGAAGCTTCACCCTCAGAGGTTTCTTAGAAACGCCCCAGGCAGCCCTGTCACGGTCCAGCGGAAGTGTTTTCCTCTGAGTGCTGTGGGCCCTTACTGTCCTACAGGAGAGACGTCCCTTCAGCCAGTGCCAAAGTCAGCCAAGGAAAAGAAGCCATTTATGGAAACGTAAACATCAGATCGTTTAATTTAAACATCAAGCAGATCAAAGAAAACCCTACTTTCCTCCCTAGCAGATGCTGGCTGGGGGAACCAGTGTTCCCAACACAGAGTACGACTGAAGGAAACAACCAGATTCTTCACCTGCCAACCCAGGAAACAGTCAGAGGATGAAGATATGGCTCGAGGCAGACTCCTGAGCTTGCCCTTTCCCGACAGCACAATTCTAATCAAGACACAACCCCAGGAGACTGACCCCCTGAAAGGAATTCCCTTTGGGTCAAGCCTGGCTTGTTGTTAGCGAGAAGCCTGGCGCCAACACTCAGTGCCCCTGTAGCTCAGTCTTGAGGCTCTGCAGCCGCACGGCCCTCAGACCGACAGCTCGCGGCACTGCCAGCTCTCAGGGGGACAGCTCCGAGATTTGTCCGCCTGCGCTCCATCTTCCCCCAAACTGCTCTTCCCAAGGCTGACTCTGCTCCTACTGCTGGCAGCCAACTTACACACTTCCTCTCGTGGTAGGAAAGAGAGCACATCCCTCTTTCCTTTTATCTTCAAGGACTGAGTTTCAGGCTTTCAGGAGGATTCTCAATTAAGGATTTCCTCCCCACATCACGGCTGCTGTACCAGGAGCCCTGGCGGCGGCGTGGCAACACACTGGGCTGCAATCTGACAAGTCGGCAGTTTGAGTCCGCTCGGAGGGAGGGAGGAAGATAGGGCTTCGACTCCCATAAAGAGCTATAGTCTCGCTTTTCACATCCGGGGAGCGCCGGCCGCGGCTCATGTTGAACTAATCCCCAGATGCAGGAGGGAAATAAGATCCAAGAAATCCCAAGTGATGAGTCTTCTTCAACTTGGATGAAATTGTATTTTAAATCTTAACAGCTGGTGGCACTTGGAAGTCAAGTGATGGGTGAGGACATTCCAGAACAGCACTTCAATTGACCGATATGCTATTTTTAAGTGAATACAATGAAGAGTTCAAGCAGGAAATAGAAGATATACTTCTTTGTTAAAAGTGAATAAAAGACTTGATTTCATTTGTAAAAACAAGAGTCGCAGAGGCCACACCCCACGGCCCTTACAATCTCCTACACCAGTGGTTCTCAACCTCTGCTAATGTTGTGACCCCTTCACAGGTCCTCATGTGGTGGTGACTCCCAACCATAAAAGTATTTTTGTTGCTACTTCATCACTGTTATTTTGCTACTGTTATGAATCGGGCAACCCCTGTGAACGGGTCGTTCGACCCCCAAAGGGGTCACGACCCACAGATTGAGAACCACTGTCCTACACTGACTTCTCAAGCCTGTCTCTCTTCCGTGTCCTGTCAATCCCACCCATCACTGCCAGTCCACTCATCTCATGGCACAACGTCCATCACCTCACAAGGGCCCAGCCCTGCCTCTGCCTATGTGCCAAGGTCAGTTACGGTGTCCAGAACCCAACCTCTGTAAGCAGCTGTGTCTCTCCTGGCACCCACCCTTTGCTTTCAGACCACCCACACTTCTCACACTCTTCTGCAAATAGTTACTGAGCAAATACTGGCCCTGGAAGTTGTGTTCCTGGTGTCAATGCCCTCGCATTTTCCTCCACTACCAAACTTCCTTTTGAACCAACTGTTATTTCCTTGCTAAGTTTATTGTTTTTGTTCAAGTGATATGAAGAAAAATTGGGTGTGTGTGTGTGTCAATCAATGAAATACTTTAGGAAAAACAGATGTGTAATCCGATTGGGGAGATAAACAGTCAGGCATCTGACTGATACAACAGACCCAGGGCGAAGTTAAGTTCATAGAGAGAGCCACTGTGGGTGTCGAGGCAGGCAGGGCTTACCTGACCGAGAAGACAGAGGCTGGATGGAAGTGGTGGCCAGGCACATTGGAGAGGGGCTGGACAGGCAAGAGAGGAGAGCAATGACAAGAGCAAAAGGGGGTGAGGCACGAGGAATGTAAACAGAGGTGGGGCCAGCAAGGCAAGATCCAGGATTGCAGTAGAGATAATGGGATTTATCTTAATGAGGGACATCTCGTCTAGCCAGCATCAGAATGCTAACTGCCAAGCCTGTGACAGACAGATGCAATCGTGATAAAACAGTCCAGATGAAAATCGCAGAAGACCGGAGCCAGTGGTCTGGGGGTGTCTCCCCTGAAAGTGCCACACACACACATTTTTCCCCCTTGGCTCTTCATTTGTCTCGTCCCTTGCAGCTAGAAGGCTCTCCCAGTCCA